GTAGGTCCTGTATAGCACACAGAGAATTAGTGAAAGTAACAATACATGATGATTAATCAGTCAACTGGGAAACTGAAATAAGATGACAATTTAATTTGGGAACATAGAGCACATGATTAAGAGCCAGATCGTTAGATAAAAGTACACGGCCTTCCAAAGTAGCAAACACGGTGCGCCCATCGGGCAGCCCCACCGAACAGTCCGGGATGCCAACAACATCAGTAAGGTGACTCAAATCACCCATTACGTGCCGGGAAGCCCCGATATCAATAATCCAGTCAAATGTACCATACTTACCCGACATGCGATCAGTAGAACGAGTTTCTGCATTAATCATATGCAAGAGTGTCTGAACCTGTTCCTTAGTCAATTCTTGAAGCGGGTTATAATCATTGCCACTAGAACGGGAAGAATCTGATGTCGTCGTATGAGACAAATTCAGAGAGGTCAGCGCATGTGCCCGGGCTTCCCCCCTTGACTGTGAGTCCCGATTGCTAGCATGCTGCCTTCTGCTGTCTGAACACGTCCCGCCGCTCCTCCTGTGTTCCGGTTACGCTCTTCCCACCAGTCCGGAAATCCATAAATTTTGAAACAAGTGCTTATGTCATGGCCTTTTTGCTTGCAGTGTGAGCATACAAGTTTAGCCTTCTCGGCCTTATCCATCTTCCCTTTAGAGTGATCTGCCTTTAGTGCAAAAGCTTGGATATCAACCACTTGAGTTTTTCCTCGTGCAATTGCACGTGAGAGTTCCTCCTAAAGAAACGCCTGATGTGCTCTTGCAATGTCTGGTAGAGGCGTTTGTGACAATAGGTTAGACCGAACCGTGCCATAAACGTCATCATCGATACTAATAAAAATTGGTGAAGTTGTTTCTAGTCCCTATCAGCCGCATATTTATCCGTTATACCACAAGTGCAATTCCCGCACGTACAAGCGTGCGGCGGTTTTAGACAATTCAATTCATCGTACAACCCCATAAGGGCAGTAAATTACGCATCCACAGTCATTGATTTTGTTTGCTTGCATTCGGCAATCGACGACCGCAACTGCTGGAGACGAGCCTCCTCGTGGAAGGGTATAGAGGCCGCCACGCTTGAGTCCATGCTTCTCAACATCCATGACACTATCATCGAGTTGTTGGTTTTCCAATCCAGCAATTTAGAAGCCATCGTCGGTTTCCGGAGAGTCCCGTCAATAAACACATATTTCCGTCGTGCTTTCAACGACAGAGTGAAAGCTCTTGACCAAGCCACGTAGTTATCTCCTTTGAGAATTACGTGGGTAATTAGATTACCGGGCTGATCTCCAGAGCTCAAATAGAACGGTGAAGATGGATCCAACCTGGGTGTTGTCTCGTCCACCATAGTCGCCGATGCGTTTGCACGCTGGTGCTGAAATCGGAGTTTTGGTGATAAACAGGACCGAATGTAGCGATTGTCTTTCGTTACGTCTCTGATACCATATTAGCTTTGGTTAATTGAGGAATAATGTCACTTTCCTTACATTGATACGACAGATCCGTATAAATACACAACAAAGATAGCCCTACGTACATAAGATGGCCGCAGCCCATATACAATATAATTACAATGAGTATTAATATAACTAAAGCCCATCTGTGTCTAACACTAAAAAATCAAGAGAAAAGAGAATTTGCACAATTTTCATCAAAAACCATTGCGTGCTCTATATTTGTTTCTATTTTGACTTTGCATCCCACTTTGTGGGGTACATTAACCTTTGCACTTCATTTTCAAAAAAATTTGACCCCATCGTATAATATTTTGTGAAGAAAACTTTCACCTGGAGGGCGTAGCTAGCTCACCTGGTAAGAAGAAGGTGTCCCAAGTGAGAGATTTCGGGTTCAACTCCAAGCAATGACTTGTGATGAAACCCAACTTTCTTTCCATCACAGTGTGATCAAAACTCAATTTACATCCTCTAGAAAATTGTGTGATCGATTCCGGGGGGCCTCAACCAGGGGCGGAGCTAGGGGAGGGTGAGGGTTGACCCTGGCCCAACCTAAATTTTAAAAATGTCTAAATTCTTAATGTAAAAATTCTATGTAAAATTTTTCCCGAAAATATTCTTTGTATCGGCCCAGTCTGGCCCAGTGTCCTGGCTCCGCCTCTGGCCTCAAGGATGGTGTGTCAACCCCTTTGTTTGTGATGAAAAATTTCCGAACATGGTGTTAAATTCAAAGACTTTTAAGAAAAATGAGGTACAAATTATGTTGTGTAATATATCACCCAAAGAGGAGGACAAAGTCAAAATTCTCCTTATTTCTACTAACTGTAATTTTTTTTCCTATCGTAACACATCTCTTTGGTGGCCGGTCATCAAGCATATATAGAGCCCGTTTGGAGAACTCTGTTTTCGGCTTATCAGGCTTATCAGCCAGCTTTTTCACCAAACACGTAACTTTTACTTTCGCGCGCTGAATTGTGTAATAAGCCGAAAAAGTAAGGTTGGAGTTACTTTTCTGGCTGTATTGGCTGAAGTTACTGTAGAGGACCATTTTAGCTATTTTTACATATAATTTTTTCTTTAATTTATTAATAAAATATATTTTTAAAATATTTTTTTCTTAAATCAGCAGAATCAGCCAAAACAGCCACTCCAGCCAGAATATCATAAATTTCAGCAGAATCAGTCAAAACAGCCGATTTTGGTGCTACCAAACGGGCTCATAATTTCGTGCAAGTATTTCTTGGATAAGTTTTCGGTATACACACAGGTTATTGAGAGGATCGGAATATTAGATTGAAGACGTTTTTGTGTTGGCAGCCCCCACCATTACCGCCTTTTGCAAACTGTGGGATGTGTATAGTACGCTCGCATAAAGAAAAACTCTAGTGGTCTAGTGATCGAACGAAGGGGCTAGCTAGCTTACATGTGTTTTTTAATCTATATACTCCATGTAAAAAGAAACATAGAAATGAAGAAAGAACTAGAGTACTTTATTCACAAAAAGAACATTATAATACTCTCTCTGTCCCATTTTATAAGATAAATTTATTATTCACTTGGTCAACACAAATCACTCTTAATCTCTTATTTTATATATCAAACTTTTATGAAATTTGAGTTACTTTTTGCAGGTTTTGTAGCGGTTTGAATGTAGTTTCTGAATATGTAATTTTTTTTTCTAAAAATAATTTGAGGGCAGACAGAGATCCGTTTGCTTTATCGTCGGTCAAACATCCAAAACCGACGAGTATCTTATAATTTGGGACGGAGGGAGTAACAAAGTACTCTAAATTTTACTATAGGAAAAGCCACAGCCTACAGCTCTTATACTCGTATTAGGCAATTCCGTTTATTTCAATTATCTAAACTCTTAATAAGACCAATTAGAATAATTTCGTAATTTAAACTTAAGTAAATAATACATTAATGACATAATTTACCAAAAAATACATTATATTAATGACATAGTCTAAACATATTTGAATAACAGGTACAATATTTCCACTTTTTAGAGCATCTCCAATGAGATGTCTACTCTCTTACACATTCTTACACATGACTCCTATTTTTTATCTCACAAATTTTATGTGTAGGACCTACATATCTTCACATTTTCATTTATCTATATCACTTTTAACCCACTTCGAGTGTAAAATCTATTTGTGGACATTGTCATAGATAGACATTGTCTACAATTTACTCCCATCTCTCTCTTCCTTTTCATTTTTGATACACATCACTTTCTTCATATTAAATTAAAATAATCATTCTATCTCTCTCCCATGCCACGTAGGATAGACTTTACCCCAATCCACTACCCCATTGGAGATGCTCTTAGTGATGTATGACAACAATCATCGTATAGCTAATGCAAATTCTACGTGTAGCGCGTACCATTTAGATAGGAGGGTCGGCACCGCGAACGGTCCAATATTTTGTCAAACCCGATGTGGATCGAATCGTATATCTGTAATTATTTAAAGGGTACAATATGGATTAGTTTTAGAAATAAAAACATTTGGTGCAATTCTATTTCTAAACGATACAATACCATGTCATACCAATGTCATTTAAACCATGTCACTTTTCAATTTTCAGAAAAGAAAAAATAGTTCAACTTCAACCTTATTAAAAACTCAATCCAAGTTTAGCCCTAATCCAAAATCATTTTGCTTTGCTATCATTATCATTATATAGTATAACATGCGACAAATCATCTTGATTCAAATTCAGAGGAATTGTAAGGAAAAGATACATTTTTAAAATTCTTTACTTTAAATTAAAGTAATAAAAGATACAGACATTATTCAAAGGATCCATTCCTAAAAGGGTTATGCATAAAATAAAATAATTAATAATGGCACGAATAAAATGAACACGAAAAAGGACGAAAAAAGATGACACCCCATCCCTGATGACCGGACAGTTATATGGGAGGATGCCAATTGAGCTTTGATCTCACCTTGATGGAAAAAGAATGAGTAAAGGGTTAGATTGGTCATCGAAGTTGCATAAAAAGGATCAAATAAGTCCTTATATAGGAGGCTCTGTCCGACCGTCGCCATTTGGGGCGGTTCCCGGTGAAATTTTTTGATGAATTTTTTTGAACATCTTATTCAATAAGTCTTGTTTACGCATACCAAATTTCAGCTAAAACTTCGAAGGCATCCAAATGAATTCTTGAAGATAACTGCACAGTTAAAAGCACAGTTATCTTCAAGAATTCATTTGAATGTCTTCCCGATTGAAGTTTTAGCTGAAATTTGGTATGAGTAAACTAGACATAATGAATATGATGCTAAAAACATTTCATAAAAAAATTCCACCAGGAACCGCCCCAAATGGCGACGGCCGGACAGTAAGGACTTATTTGACCCTTTTTATGCAATTTCGAAAACCAATCTGATCCTTTACTTTAAAGAGAATAATGTTCCATCCTAAGTCATTATATTGCTAAATTATTGGAGTTGAATCCGGAACCTCTCTCGTGAGACCCTTTTTACCGGGTGAGCTACCAAAAAAGAACACACATTATAAGTAAGGTATACCAGTTACGCATCTGCTATTAATTACTTGGGTACCATAAAATTTAACATAAGTTAAACAATGAATTATTTAGGTATAGCACTGTAACATACTAACATTCAAACATATTGACCCATACTAGCTAGCACAAATTGGCATTAAGTTGGTAGTTTTGATAACTAGTTGCTGGTTTTGAAAGAGTTGCCAACTAGCTAACACAAATTGGCATCTCTATTATACAAGTATATATATTGGGTCCATATAGTTGATGAATCACATGCATTGCTTATTAGGGTTTTCTCTACTAACTCTCTGCCTTCACTGACTCACTGTTCTATATAAACTGCACTCTCCAGAATCTGTCATTCCCATCATCACCATCTCTGAATTTTTAGCTTCTTGAGTTCACCATGGAGACCTCAAAGCTCACAGCTTTTCTCTTCTCCATTCTTTTCATTTCCTCAGCCACTCCCACTTTGGGCTGTGGGGGTTGTGACCAGCCCAGTCACGGCCGTCCCAGTCACGGAGGTCACAAGCCGAAACCCTACCCACCGGTGGTCAAGCCGCCGGGGATTCTCCCTCCGGTCACCCTCCCGCCAATCCTCAACCCTCCGGTGACCCTCCCGCCAGTCACTAAGCCGCCAGTAGACCTACCTCCGGTCACTCTCCCGCCCGTGACTAAGCCGCCGGTCACCCTGCCCCCGGTCACCCTCCCTCCCGTAGTTACTCCTCCGATAACGAACCCGCCCTCGTACGGGAGCGGGGGCAAGGGGTCCGGGGGCAAGCCGTGTCCGACACCCCCGGCGACGTGCCCGATCGACACCCTGAAGCTCGGCGCGTGCGTGGACATTCTGGGAGGTCTGATTCACATAGGGCTGGGCGACCCCGCCGTGAACGAGTGCTGCCCCGTCATTCAAGGGCTGGTGGAGCTTGAGGCGGCGGCGTGCCTGTGTACAACCCTAAAGATTAGGGCACTGAACCTTAATCTTTATGTCCCGCTTGCCCTTCAGCTGCTTATCACCTGCGGGAAGACTCCTCCTCCTGGTTACACTTGCTCTGTGTAAAACAGCTCAGGCCATGGCTGTGCCAACGCTTACTAGTTAAGTACGTGTTCTCATTTCCTTAATTTACTCCCACCCCACCTTGTCTTCTCTTCAAAATACAAATAAATAATTACGTACACTTATATTAGGTTCCTTCAATTATTTTCTTGGAGTTTTAACTATGCTATCTGATCTCGTGACATGTTTCGTCATTTATACTTCATCGTTCCATAATTCTTGCAACATTGTGATTTTTACACTATTCACAGATCTTACTTTGACCATAATTTTCAACTAATATACATAATCAAATTATTACGTGTAAAATGTTATTGAACTCTTATGAATGTGAATTTCCAAAATATCAACTTTTTATAATGTTTACTAATACATAATTAAATATAATTACAGTCAAAGTTGTACATTGTCAAATGTGAAAGTCAAACTGTTGCAAGAATTATGGAACGGAGGATAGTACTATATTCTAATATGGAGTACATTGGAAAATAAAAGATTTCTATGCTTTATTATACATTGAATTGGTTTTTTTCAGAAATTGGATGTTTTTACTTGTTTGCTGGTCTGATTTAGTCTGGTCTGGTTTCTTTGCATTTTTATAACTATTAAGTCCGATCTGGTCTGGGACAAATTAAAGTCCAAGTAAAAACATTTTCAATACTCACACACTCCAATTAATTAACTCCATAATATTTAAGTGTATATTATTATATACTTCGTATTAGTCTACATTCAGAATATCTTTATTTCTCATTGCTAAATAATGATCAGGTTTCGTCCTCCACAAAGTGCTTGCTATAATACCCAAAAGAAAAGTACTACGTATATTTTTTCACTCTTTATACCCCTACTTAGGAGTTTGGAGTATGTATTCTAATTTTTCTCTTTATCTTACTTAATTATACATGGATTTATTTAAGGAAATGATTGGAAGCAAACAGCGAGACACAAAAAGACAATAAAAAACGCTAGCTTTTATTTTTTGAAAAGAACTTCATAATTTTCGTTTTATGGATTATAGAAATTCTCATATCTATAGGAAACCACTTTTAATATAAAAATCCCAACTACCTTTACTTTTTCCCCATTTTTTCTTGTTTCTACATAAAATGAGGGTGTACTTGGTCACAACTATCCTTACCTTTTACCCATTTTTTTTTTTTGTTTTGACACAGAGATAAATAATCAAAATAATCATTTACGTACAAAATAATTGAAACAGAGATTTTAAATGTACCATTGAAAATTTATATACTCTGTATACACGTGGGAGGTTAGCCAACAATTCTTATCGACTTCCATATTAATTAAAGTTATATGAAATGTTTACTCTTAGATCTCGGTTTTTGTCTAAGATGTCACAAAATAATTATATTGAATATCCTTTTTTTGCACCAATATGTGGCACACAGTTTCACATTTATGTACTTAAGCTAGTTTTGCTCTATTTGAAGTACATAGAGCAAAAACGTTAAAGGAATTTCCGTAAATGTATATTGTTTTACATGAATCAATTTTTTGCATTTCGACATGTTTTTTATAATTAAACATTTGCCGAAATCGTACAATTGTATCAGAATAAGACGAGAAATAATTTAGATGCCTACTTTAAGTGGTACTCTCACTTAACTTATTGGCATCTCACCTTTTCCCGAAAATGATAGTACACAAATTTATAAAGTACTCGTAAATGACCCTTTTGCTAGGCCTCGCATGATATGAAGACAACAACAATTAAATCGTTTTATATAAACTAATTAAAAAGAATATAAGTTTGCTTATGTATCTTGTAATATTATTTTCAATAATTTGCTCTTCTAAAACAAAATATTAAGTCTTAATACGAATCAGAATAGTTTCAGTTCTATCGTGAAATTCCTCAACATAGTCATTCTCTCTAATTAGAGGTAGTATTGTTGTAAGCTAAGATTTTAATACGGTCCTGATTTCATATTTTGTGTGCCAAATTTGCCTAAAATTTAGTCCTAATTTAAAAAAACGAACCCAAACATTATTATACATCACCTCAACGGAAATATTTAATTTTGATGTAAATATTTAATTTCATACATAACCATTAGAACCTTTAATTCTCGCATTATTTTTCTAATTTCAATTCTAAAAAACGTGTCGTAATACCCATTAGAACCTTTTATCTCTTCAAATAAAAGATGTTTTTATGTATTCTGCAATTCATAGCACAAAAAGTTTATGTCTTCATAAATTAAAGAAAGAGGCAGGATTGATTTATTTATTTTCCATTTTAAAAAAAGTTTTTTGTGCCCTCGTGGGGCATGGTGGCAAAATGTATGAATGATTAACCCATTATTGGTATATTTTGGTGACTACAGATTTGCAGGTTTTGGCTGTAGGTTTGATGAATTGACATGAAAGGATGTCAACAGTGAAGCATGTGATTTGTGTTTGTCACTTTTCTATGAATCCTCATCCCACCCATATTTCTTTCAATCTTTTTTCCAATCTTTCTACTATAGTGTGTGGTAGACCTGTCCACTGTGTTGATTCGAACTGTACGAGCACCTTTTGCTGTATTTGAATAGTATTTTATTTCAAGTGTTTTGTTACAACTTTTTTATATTCCGAGTCATAGATTGAAATTTCAAGTGGCGTTCCACAGTTAGATTTTTTTCATTATTGTTGTTAGACTTGTTACAACTTAATTATGAACTCCCTTGTCCCGTTTTGTACACCTTCCGTGTATGCCATTTCCTTACAAATAAAATCCACCAATATATGTTGTGAAAGGACAGCTAATATGAATCAATTTAAATTCATTAATCATGTCATTCATTCATTATTTGGTAGTGGTTTTTACACTAATATTCTAGAGTCATTTTACCAATTTTCATACTAGGAAATAACGCGGCCATTAATTCTTCGTAGTTAAAATTTGTTTTTCTTTACATCAACTCTCATTTTTGTACTTTATTACATCAGCTCTCCTAGCATTTCTGCCATTTTTCTATTTTTTCTTCTATTGTTAAGGTGAGAATAGTCCATGCAAAGTAGCAAATGAAGTTAAGTAAAAGTCTTTAGATGGCTAGGGTGCAAGTTCAAGTGTAAATACACCAATAATTCAAGTAAAATAAACGAATAACATGGTTAATGAGCATGAGTGAACTAATATTAGTTGTGCACTTCACAACTCCATATGTTATTACAACATATGCCAAATGAATTTCCTTAATAAATCCATCAAAGAGGAGAAAAAAGAGTGTTCCTTTCCTTCTCTAGTAAGATTAAATCCATCAAAATGCTTCGATTTTAAGTAACTCGCATTCTCGGCTTTCCCAATCTTCTTCTTCGCTACATTTTTTTGCAGAATTTCCTTCCACTGGTCAATGAGTAGTCTTTGAACTGGAGGTTCTAAATCTTACGGGTAGAACATTTTTGAGTTTAACTGGAGGTTCCTTCCACTCGGAGAATATGTTTTAAATACAAAAGGTTGAAGCAATCAAAGTGAAAGTGTGAAAGTTGAGAGGTGAAAATTGTATTGTGACCTATGTTGCACGGAAACGCGTAAATCATGAGAAAATGGGAAACATAACTTTTGCTCAAAAAATGTTTATTTGGAGAGTTTCCAAATAGTTTATGTGAGTTTCCGAAATTGGAAACGTACTCTTTCCCAAGAGTTTCCGTGCTACATAGATTGTGACATGCATAAACAGGGACGGATCCAGTATTTTGAGTCAAGCTAAGGATGACGAAACTTTTTCATTAGTGTAGGGGTGAATTCTTTTTTTTCTAGTGTAGCGGGACGATTTTTTTCCCACTCATGTAGCGGAGCGAATGTTTTTCGCTAGTATCAGGCTCTACGTTTATTTTTATTCAAAAACATTCCATTAATACATAGTAGACAATGAGCGGAGCGAATGTGACATTCAAATCTATTACATTCTAAGTTTAGACAATGGAATAATAACTTTGATACATTCTAAATCTAGAAAAACAGTATTGATACATTAAAGCGTAAGAAATGACAAATCAAAAGGAAATTATTTGAAAAATAAAAAAGGATATATAATATTTTATCAAATTATTTAATTTGAATATAAAAAGTTTAAAGGGTATACATTGACTAATACTTTTTAAATAACATCTGCTTTGTTTAATCACATAAATCTTATCAGAATAAATGTTTGATTTTTGAGTTGCAATTTTTGTCTACCAAGGAGGGTGTTCGTGAATCACAAAAAGTTTTCTTAATATTACAATAGTGTGTATGAGATTATTATTTTTAGAATAAAATATATTGCAGATTCATATATATATGGTGCATATTATATTTGTATTAATGCTAAAATAAGTTAAAGTTTATTATTTATGCAATAAATTAGTTTTAGAAAGTAAGAAGTAAATCGATTGTGTAATTTAGTGTCAAGCGTCATCAACAAACATTTATATTTTCGATTCAATTCACACGATTTAAAAACTATTTAACTATTGTGTCTGATAATTAAACATTACAAAACTAGAAATTTTTGTATAATAAGTATCCTAAGTTTTGGACAATGAAACATTATAAAACTTTGCATAACTTAAACAAATTAACAATAGAACTACTACTACTACTAATAATAATATAATAATGAACATATAAATATATATATAAGGTTAAAAAGAAGGGTAATTATTATCCACAATAATAAAAAAATTATAATGCAAGTTAGTATTGAAAACATACCCATAATAATCTAAAGTATAGTTTTAGCCCTATTTATATCAATAATGTTATTTGATATTTTTATATACATGTATAAATTGATTTTGAATTAATTATGTATCTATTAGTATAAATATATACATATATAGTATACATATTGAGAAAATAAACATAAACATAACTATACTTATTATGAGATATTAAAAACACAATGTGTAACTGTTTGTTTAATTATACTTGAAAATGGGTAGTGCAGTAAAGAAATAATAATATCATAAAGAGAGTAGATTGTATCTATCAACTTGGCAGGTTAGCAAAGCCGAAGATGTTCTTTCCCTATTTTTAATTTGGGCCGGTTCTTACGTAAATTCCAGGGTTTCCTGGGTTTCGTCCGTTGCGGGTCCGGCCCGGCCCAATCCGGGTCTACGGGTTATTCCGGTTTAAGGCATATTTGCGGGTTTACATGCAGCCGGACTGGTTTAGGTGTCGGGTCGCCGGTTCCAGGGTCGACCCGCCCGGTCGATCCGGTCCGGTTCTGATATCATAGATTTTTACGCTGTTACTAGGAGGCACCCTAGGTCCCGCCCCAATCCAACGGCCAATTTTATTTTGATTATTAGGGTGAAGAAATTCACGTTAACAATATTCAAAAATGTTTTTGGACTGGGCCTAGCCCAATACAGTATCCTGCCACGCTAGTGCTGTGTAATCACGATACAAAAAATTTTTGATTATTTTGAAGGGTAATTCTAAATAGAGCCACATAATTACTATTCACACTCCTTAATTAAAATTAATTAATAAAATATAATTAAAATCCCTATTATATCCCACACGGACAATCTCACTCCTCTTTGCCATCCACCTCGATGCTCTTAACCATGGCTTCAAGATTAGCCAAAAGACACGTCAGTAGATTATATTTCAAACTGTTCTCTTCATCTTTGTCCCATCTCTGCATCTGGGGTGGTTTTTTTGGAGAATCACAAGAATCTCACACTTCCTCACTCAATTATTCCTTCTGCTTCAGTGAATTCACCTCCCTCTTCACATATCAAAATACTCAATTTCCCATATTCCTTTCCCAACAGATTGAAAATCTAATTTACCTCTCATCACCACACCCTACTTGGCTGAAACCCTAGCAGTATATATCAAAAATTTCTCAAAGCAAGCTGAGCGGACAAGCGGTTGCGGAAAAATTTCAAAGCGGAGATGAGTCAAAGCGTCAGGAGTTCTGTGGGCCAGGTTTCGAGCGAGATGAATCCGCCACTGCCATAGACTCCACCAGACCACCACCACTGCTACAAAGCTTCGGTGATGACCACCGCCATAACTTCCGCCACCGCCGCCTTAACGTCTGCCACCACCTTCGTGATATTCACCGTCGTGGCCTCGGCCATATCTTACCGTCTTAGAAGATGAGTTGCTTTAGCAGTATAAAAGAAAACAATTTCATCAAGGATAAACTTGTAAATTTTACCAATTTATTTAAACGAATTTTAAACATAGGGCTGTGGATAGTAAAACTATGGTTGTATTTAGAATTGCCCATTTTGAATAGACGGATTTGATGTCTAAAATTGACTCATGATTTTTTTATTAGAGTATTTAGGATATACGAGGTAAATTAATTACAACTCCCATGGTAAATGTTATTTAGTTCTGTTCTTCCCATGTTGCTTGATCGGTGAGGCCTGATGAAGGAGGCGTCGATCTGCTCGCTCGCTGAAGTTATGAGATTTTCTTCCACTGTTGCTCGCTGGGTGTTCGGACGAAGGAGAATTAGGTTTTGGATTCAGCGTTGTGTGGTTGTGGCCTTCTATCCCCAACGCAAAGTATTGAACGGACTATTTTAGTTCTCAATTCCAAGATATTAATAGTACCGTATATGTTAAAATTTATTATGTGTATTTTAATATTATATTTTAGTATTGTGTGTTAAAAATTTGAGCTTACCAATTACTAATATAAGTTTTATGCAGGGGCGGATCCAGGAATGAGGGGTGGGGTGGGCTAAACAATAACAATTTTCTTTACTGCATACAAAAGGTTTAGTTTAGGACTGATAGTTATTGAACTGAGTTTTTTTCGAACTACTCGAGTTCGATCGTGATTTCGAATTTAATTTAATGACCAAATCTTAACGAGCTTCAATCTCGAACACGGGCTAAATTTTAGTTTAAGTTTGTTTTTACAAAAAAGCGGCCGTTATTTTTTTGAGTTTGAATAGTTATTCATGCTGAATTCGAGCATAGTCATGTTCAGTATGATAACTTATAAAGTATAGAAATAAACTATATACTACCTCCGCCCACTTTTATTAAGACTAATTTGATTTTTCAAGTCAAAGAAGTTAAACTTTGAATGACTATATATTTATACAATAAAATTGATAATATGAAAATGAAATGGAAATGTTCTTTGTTAAAAAGTTTATCATAAAAGTATAAATTTAGTAAGTTTCACATTAATACATGAGTTAAAATGATGGATCAAAGTTTACCATCTTTGACTAAAGAGTCAAAGATGGCTAAATAAAATGAGATGGAGGTAGTATATCTAAAATTTAAACGTTTTTAGTGTGATTTATAATTTTATTATTGATTATTAAAGATTTTAGTATTTATTGATATGACACTACAAAAAAAACACGAGATTGGTAGAGATTTTGGCACGGATTTTGGCAGAGATACGCCAAATCCGTGCCAAAACACTTTGGCACGAGCTATTTGGCACGAAACATTGATAAGTCCGTGCCAAATTCCGTGTCAATCCCGCCTTTTTTTGTAATGTGAATTAAAATACTTCTATAAAAGTATAAAACTAATAAGTAAAAATAGTCGATGTACATAAAACTAATAAGTATTCCCAATTTTAAAATTGAATTGAGATTTTGAATCCATTCTTACATGCCTAAATAGTAAGTCCATCGTTCTCTATTCTTTAATTGCATAATAAATAAATCCTTTTCTAATCTTTAATTCTAAAATCTTTAATCATTATAAATTTATAATAAAATAAAAACTATTTTACTATCTACTGAAAATATTCAATTAATAATCGAATAGAATTACAAAGTTGGTAGGCTTGAGCTAGGCTAGACATTAATTTTAAGGTGGGCTGGAAATTAAACCTATACCTATAATAAAAAAAAAAAATTGGGCTGGGCTGGGCTGGAGCCCACCCCTGCCCCAACATAGATCCGCCCATGGTTTTATGTTATATATTGAAAATGAGTATAGTGAGTAACTGAGTATAATAAATGTGTATAACAATTAAAAGAATTGAACATAGATAAATGAATATTTGAGCACGTTAGAAAAATCAAATGAGCATACACAAACGAAAATTTGAGCACACTAGAGAATTCAAATGAGGTACACAAATGAAAATTCGAGCATACAGTAACTTTCAAATGAGTTTTTTGAATCTTTTCGTTGCTCATTTCGTCAATACCAATTTATGATTAGTTTTGTAAATTGAAGAATAAAAAATTATAAATTATTTCGGTACTATAATCTATTATATTTCTCTTTGTTACGCAAATGAATATTTGAGCGCATCAGAGATTTTAATGAGCTTTTGAATTTTTCAATGCTCATTTTATAATATATGAAAAAAATGCCCATTTTATAATATATGTATACTCATTCGGGACTGCTGTTATACTCATTTTAAAATTTCATATCAATGCTTATGAAACTAAGGCTCAGCAGAATAAGTATCATGTTCATTAAAAGTGTATTAATGTTCATTTAACAGAAACCATTATTTCCATCTCAATAGAGGAGAGTTGATGCTCGTTGAGGTTTAGTCCCGTAGATCTGAAAGCCCAACACAAACTTCAGCTATTAAGGACGATGGATTCGGTATAAAAGTAAATCAATATATAAAAGTGTATGAACTAGCTATTTTTACGTGGACACCCGGAAAGGGAGAAAACCATGAGACTTTTTAGACTAACGTCCAAGCCCGCTCTTTCTCACTAATATGCTCTCCTCACCATCTTACATAGTACAAGTATAGAACTTCCATTAATGGAGTTTATGAGCTCTCTACAAAAGATGAAGAAGAAATAGTAAGGGGGAGGGAGAAGAGCTCCTTGGAGCAGAAAAAAGATCCCCAAATAGGAAGCCTAGCTTGCCTATTTATAGAAGGGGAGGGAAACCCTTTCATGCTAATGGGCCGAAAAAGGCCCTAATGGGCCAAAACAGGCTGAAGTAGACCGAGTAGGCCTAACTGGCCCTAAATTGGCCTGAGGGGCCTAAATGGGCCTCGTCGTCTGAGCTTTATACCGGGGTGACGCCTTGGCCTCTGAATAGTAGTAGTCCGGGGTAATATACCCCAACAATGCTCGATGAAAATATCATGATTTCAACTAACAAACCAACTAACAAATTCATTAGTGCTCATTTTGTTAGTTACGTATGTTCATCTGATACTGATCTTATGCTCATATATTAAACTCCTAATACTCATCGTAATAGACCGGATGCTCATTAAAAGTTCATTAATGCTCATTCACAAGAAATTGTGGTTTTCATCTCAATAGCGGATGTTTGATGCTCAATTAAAGTGGCGTGATGTTCAACTAACAAAACCTTATGATTTTCATATCAATGTACACTTTGTAATTATGTATGCTCATTTGGTACTAATGTAAAGTTCATTTTACAATGTCATATCAATGCATATTTCAAAAGTATCATACGAAGTATTATATTAGACTCGCATATTGAAACTAATAAGAGTGGATTATAGATATTCCCTCCGGTTTTTAATAAACTTCACACTTTCTTTTTTGGGACGATCTAAAATAAACTTCACACTTCCTTATTTCCTTTTTTGGCAAAGAAATCTACATCAAAATAGTGCCAAACAGTGTCAAACAGTGTCTAGATCAACAGTGCCAAACAGTGTCTCTACAGTGCCAAACAGTGTCTCTACAGTGCCAAACAATGTCAAACAGTGCCTCAACAGTGTACTCTACAGTAAAGTCAAATTTCTTTCCTTATTTTGTGTGAAGTCAAACTGTGAAGATTAAAAAAAACCGGAGGTAGTATAATTTAATAAGTTTTTAAATAGAAAAAATAAGAAAAAGAAAGAGAATTAGAATATATGAAGCAAATATCGTGAAACTTATTGTTAGCCTCCTAATACTCAATAAAATAGGTCAGATGATCAGTAAAATTACACTATTGCTCATTTACCGGAAGCCGCGATTTTTCGCTCAAATTACAAAATTGCCACCGAAAAAAATTGGCCTGTATTGATTGTTGGGCTATCTTCCTTAGTTGGGCCGGATATACGTACACCCGGTTGTATGATATAGGTTCTCGATATACGGAGTACAATATTATTTGATTGAACATTGATGTTATATACATGCAGTTGGGATTGTTTAAGTAACTGATTATTAAATTGTTGGTTACAAATAAACAAACTGACAAATAATAAATGAATAAATTACGAAATAGTGCAACTCATATGTAAGTCATCATATATTGATCATCATTGATCATGGATCCGTGGTTACATTTGTGACAAATGATAGTAAGACACGTTGGCACGTAGCACATAATCAACTAAATCCATCCAATTAAAGTAGATCACACGGATCATGGTTTTCTATGAAAATTATGACTAGCACATCATAATGCCCTAAACTATTTTATACTAAATTCTAATTCGCCCGATCCCTTAATTTTCTCTCTATTTATTTTTAGAAAAATAATATCATCTCAAATTAATTAAATACTAAACTTTGGACCACATTTGAACCCCACACGGCCCATCCATCCATTCCTATATATACCCCATTCGATCCTCCTAAATTCCCATTCCTCATCATTCTATCAAAACCTTCTAAAGGTACGTACAATTCCCCTTATCCTTTATCCTCTAGATTATAGAAAGTTTTCTTTTTTTAGGTATAAGTCATATAAGTATCTACTATGCCTGAATATATATTTTAATTAGTATCATATAACTCTAGCTTCTTCTTGTACGTAGTTGAGTTTGGTGCGGTTTTGTAATCGGAAGAATGGCTCGTACAAAGCAAACTGCCCGCAAGTCCACCGGCGGAAAAGCTCCGAGAAAGAGTCTCAGTGTCATTAAGGTATCTATGATTAACTTATTCTGATTCCTAGAGAATCATAAAATCATCTTGACATTCTTATATCTAAGTATCTTTGAACAGATTATTTTTATCTGATATAGCCTCCTTACAGACATTAAGGCTGTCTTTTATTCGTATAGAAGGCTATTTTTTAACCCTAATACCATGCATGTTAAGGCCGGGTTGCATAATTGAATCACATGGACATTCATCATCATACGGAGTAATATACTCCTTCTGTTCCGCTAATATTGTCATATCTTTCCAGCCTTTCCTTTTCGATCCGTCCCATTACAATTGTCTCGTACAAATTTGATAAAGTTTGTGTGCCTATAAATCATTCTAACTTTATTCTTACCTTATCACTTCAAAACGAAACACATAAACCTATTTTTCTAAATAATCGCGTTACCTTCTAATGTTCCAATGTTTGTACCTTCTAATGTTCCAACCTTTGTAGGACGAAGGTAAGTATTAATAATGTTTTGATACAAAGTATTGTTTGTTTGATATGAATATGGTTGCAGGCTGCCCGCAAGCAAGTCCCTACAACCGGCGGGGTGAAGAAGCCGCACCGTTACCGTCCAGGAACGGTTGCTCTTCGGGAAATACGAAAGTATCAAAAGAGTACGGATCTGCTGGTGAGGAAGCTGCCGTTCCAGAGGCTGGTGCGAGAAATAGCGCAGGACTTCAAGACGGACTTAAGGTTCCAAAGCCACGCCGTTCTGGCGCTCCAAGAGGCGGCCGAAGCGTACTTGGTTGGGCTGTTCGAAGACACCAACCTCTGTGCCATTCATGCTAAGCGCGTCACCATCATGCCCAAGGACGTCCAGCTTGCCCGCCGTATCCGGGGCGAGCAACCTATTAAATCTTAATTTTCTTTTTTCTTTTATTAATTAATAATGATAATATAAGGGCCTAATTATGAAGCCCCACCTCTAGTACGTTCGTTACACAGCTGTTTGTTATAAGGTCAGTTGCTTTGTTAATTCCTAGTTGATGAAGATGATTCATATTATCAAAGATTGATTAATTTTAATTTTGACCGATAGTATATTTATATACAAAAGTGTTTATAACACAAAAATGATGTGAAAATGTTGTTTTAAAAAAGACTATCATCGTATAAAATTATTAATTTTCACATAAATATATTACATATTAGTTCAAATAATTAATCAAAGTTCACCACGGAGGCAGTATATTATATGGAAAATGCTAGAAGTATAAATAAGCTTCTAAAAAATCTTCCATATAAGTCATGTGATTAGTGTAATCACATTTGTGGTTAAAGTGGTGTGATGTGTTGCCTCGTAGAAGTTTTAAAAGACTTTTTTTAAGAGTCTATATTCCTTTGGCATAACTCATTCTTCCGATTAATTACATAGTCTATGGTTGTAGTTGGCCACTTGATCGGGTTTGCAGTGGTGTATCGGGAAAAAATGGTGAGAGTGCATGGGCTGGAGGGGGTCGGGGCGAGTATATATACATGTATATATATATAAAATGAAGATCAATGATATTACTTGTGTACATGTAAACATCAATTTGTATATAAATTTTTCAAAATTACATGCCTTAAAAGGAGTCCAATAGAATAAACTTTCTAAACGGTAGTACAATTGTTTTTCTTCTCAAAATAGAGCTCATGATATTCATTCCTATTTAGGCAATTTTTTATGTTTTAATCTTTAAAAAGGATTACATAAATTCTATATTTGAGAAAGAAATTAAAACACAATTAGTCCTAATTTAAAATTTTTCGTATGTTTTACTACTATTTTTAGCAATTTCACACAAAATTTTAGGCTATATAAGCTTCCCCACGTACCCTAAATACGCCGCTGCGGGTTTGGCTATGAAAAAATGCTCATAGATTTTAGGCATCTTTCACCCGTAGTATGTTTTCTTTCACGTGTAATGAAGGTGTTGAAGCCTTGAAGGTATGTAATTGGACAGAAGAACATATAAAATTTTGAGAATTAAAATATGTATTAACTTCTCGTTTAAAAGGCATTATATTGCTTCTCATGTAATGCATATAAAGAATATTTTGCTCAACAAGTGGAAATAATCTACGTCCATTGGTCTAAGAATGGGTGTAATCGGTCCGGTTAATTGTCGCCAGGCACTAGACGCCCCTAACTAGCTTAGGGCTAATTAGCCTAGTTGACCAAAAAATCAACAAAGTCGTCGCCTAGTCGGTGTCAAGGCGCTAGACACAGCTCAACCGCTGGGTAGTGCCGAGCGAGTTTTAATTTATAACAATACTAACGTCCACATCCACATTTAAGATTCTCTCCTTGTGGAAGATCATAAAAATTTTCATAATTCTTCACTTGACTCAAACGATCGATAATGTTTGGACAAGTGGTGTCACGCCCTGGACCTACCCGGACACGTCAACAACCCGCCGTACCGTACGAATAGTCAACCGCAGTCCAACACATTCATACTATACGAGACGTCTGAAGTATCATTCACACGTAGTACATCCATAAACAAACATAATGTAAAATATTCATTGAAGCAGCAGAAACATTTATTTCAAGTGTTTGTGCCACACTTGGCAATATAGGCAGGCATGCAAGCCCCCAAATAATTATTTATAAATAATAATATCCATGAGCATCAAATGTATTGTTTTTTTAAATAGAAACGGAGGAAAGCACGAACCACGTCTTTCTCCTTAAATCTTTCCGGACCAGCGACAACGGTAGCAACCTTCAAGTTCTACCTGAAACTGTGAGGTGGCCTCCCCCGTGAAAGGGAGGTCAGTACTTTGAAACATTTGAAAAGTACAATGATAACTATACTAAGTATAATCAATGTTTCAATCTCTAGCTAAGACCCTCAATCTAGGGTGTTTTTATTATATTATAGTTAGCCCACGTTCTTTCATGCTAGAGCTCGGCTCATAGTCATACTACATAAAGCTAGAGCTCGGCTCATAGTCATACTACATAAAGCTAGAGCTCGGCTCATAGTCATACCTCATAAAGCTAGAGCTAGGCTCATAGTCATCGTACATAAAGCGAGAGCTCGGCTCATATTTATACCACATAAAGCTAGAGCTCGGCTTATAGTCATATTACATTTTGCTAGAGCTCGGCTCATAGTCGTACTACTACGTGCTACTGTGCTAGAGCCCCGACCCGCTCATAGTCACGTTATCTAATCTCTAAGTAATCTCTTGGTCTAGACTCCATTCATTTTGAGTAACCCTTAAGGCCTACTCCTAATGTAACTTGGAGTTCATAAAGTCCATCTTTAAAATATCCTTTAAGGTCCCTTAGGGCGTACTCACCTCACTTTAATATCTTAGGATTAGTTCTAACGATTATTCGAACTATCCTTCCGACTAGTATTTCAATACTAGTCGGTTGACCCTAGTACAACCAAGTTCTAAATTCATAGCAGTTTGTTTATTTCAATTAAATTCTTCATCCATGTATAATTTGGCCTTAATATCAAAATATCACTTTTATCCTTTCATGACTTCTTTACATGAGTTAAAAGTATATTTATCACAATAGAGTTCATGGTTAATACAACTATCATACCATCATATTCATCACACATAACTATACACAATTTATTCATAAATTTGTATATTATGCATTCTTTACTTATAACCAATAATAATTTCATTTAGGCATTATTAATCATTAATAATCCATTCAAAATACATTTAATTCATTTAGGTAATCTTATGAAATTAATCCAATAATTATAAGCAATATAGTCGGTCATCCTCACTTCGAATTAGCACTATGAAGTTCTAGGTTGAACTCCGGCGAAACTCCGGCGACTTTTGACGAAGTCCGGCGACAACTCCGACGACTCTTTTAACTTTGTGAAAGACCTTGAAATACCTCAATCAAGTTCCTAACAAGGTTTTAACATCATAAAACATTAATCAATATGAATAACCTCTAAAAGGTTATTTTCTGGCGAAACAGTAATTTTGACTATAAGTCCGTTCTTGGACTTTAAATCATCTTCCAACCCTTTTTTCTACATATGTAAATATGTAGAACCATAAAAAGGGTTCCTCATATGCTATATAAGTCATGTGGTAAAAGAAAAATAGAGGAAAAGTTAATATAAGGTCATTACCTTAATTTTTCTCACTTTTCCTAACTTTTTCCTCCTTAAATCTCCTTCTTTGGACTACTTTTTCTTGCTCGTGCTGCAACAATGGAGGCTGGCTGAGGGCTCTCTCTTTCTCTTTGATGCTTTGGCCGAAATTATGGGGTGGGTGAGTGATAGGATGGCCTTTTTGGCTTATCTCACCAATTATATCGGGAAAGGGTCCCATTCCATCTCATGGTTGACCTTCCCCTCACTTTCCTTTGTCTTGGCAGCCACCAAGAGATTTATTTGGGCTCGAAAAACGTGGGGTGGCCCCCACTCATTTGGGAGGTCATCCCTTTATGTCCCGGTGTGTACAATCGGTCCCGAAAGTTGTATTTTTTGGACTGTTTTTAAATATATATTATTTTATCGGGTGAATAAAATTTATTATTTGTTCTCAATCATAATAACATTTATATTCAATATGCATTCCCAAACTTTAATTTATAAGTCTACGAAAATCATTTCGGGCTTTTATCTGTTAAATTACCAATACCGATATTTGGGCTTCTTTTGACCAATCGGTCAACTCTGGGCCTTTCCATGGCCCAAATGAAATATCCACCACCATATAAATATTATCTAGGCCAAGATGAATAAAATATGTGATTTCGGGAATATCGGGTGGTCCCCTCTCCCGGTGTGGGCCCCACGTGCAAATTTACTATTCACGTGAATGAATTAATAATTAAAAATTCACAACTTCGTAAATTCATTAACCATTCCATTCAATACATTAATTACTCAAAAGTAAATATAATTGGGGACGGTGTTACAAGTGGTATCGTGAACTATGTTAATAGACAATTTCTGGAATTACATTTGATGATATATGGAGTTACATTTTCTTATGGCGAGTTACATCTTCCTATGTGTGAGTTACGTTTATTTGGATTTGCCTTAATAAGTTACATTTTGCATAGACCTACGTAATACATCATCGCAAAATAGCACGAGTTACATTTTTTCATAACACGGGTTACATCACAAAATAAACTGTAGCTGTTGAAACAAAAAATATCAATTTTTTGCAAACAACAATGATTTTGTTTGGCATAAAAAATGATTTTTTTGGCAATTTTTTTTTCTTTGAAACATTTTTATGGCCTTAATACTAAAAACAAAACATATTAACTATTTACATAAATTAATTTGAGCAATTAGACTCATTTTTATTTGATAGTATATTATGAAGTTACATCTTCATAATGCTAGTTATATTACACTTGCCTTAACAAGTTACATTTAATTTGCATACACCTAAGTTAGTTTTTCCATCAACGCGAGTTACATTTTGTATAACATGAGTTACATCCCAACGTAACATATAGCCCTGCTATTGAAACAAAAGAATCCTTTTTTTCAAAAAAACTATAATTATTTTTTTGGCAAATAATAATTTATTTGGCAAATCAAGTGATTTTTTCAAAAACATTTTTATGGTCTTAATATTAAAAGTAGAACATATTCACTATTTAAGAAAGACTCAACTATTGAAACAAAAAGTCACTTTTTTGCAAAAAACAATAATTTTTTGGCGAAAAAATGACACTTTTTTTTGGCAAAATATAAAAAACCTATTCACTATTGATGTAAAATTATTGAGCAATTAGACTCCTTGTTTTCATTGAAATCAATGTTTTATTTCTTATAATTCGTATTAGACAAGTTACATTTTCATTTGCCTATTGTTACTTTATATTTCTTATCAGCGTGAGTTACAATTTCTTACACGCTAGTTACACCATTCTGCTACTAAAAAAATATAAAAAAAAGTTATTGTTCACCCGCGTGAACAGTAACACACATTTTTTGCCTGTGGGAGCAACATGCTCATGGTGGGCTGCTCCCACAATATACGGACTGAACTTTAGGTATAGCTAGGAGGCAGCCTAGGTCTTGTCCCAATCCAAAGTTTTATTTTATTTTAATTATTAGGGTGAAGAAATTCATGTTTACCATATTCGAAAAAGTTTTTGGACTGGGCCTAGCCCAATATAGTGGCGGCCCTTCTACGCTACTGCTAGGTAATCACTTAAGCCCTATATGATTGATACAAGTATTTGATTATTTTGAAATGACGGATTTGATTTCTAAAATTGACTCATGATTTTTTTATGAGAATATTTGGGATATACTATATTATTTGATTGAACATTGATGATATGCATGCAGTTGGGGTTGTTTAAAAATTAAAACTATTTTTTTTTTAAATTAAAACTATTTTTGTTATAAACTTCGGAGTAAATACAGTTGGGTTTGTTTAAGTAACTGATTATTAAATTGTTGGTTACCAATAAAGAAACAGATAAACAATAAATGAATAAATTACGAAATAGTGTAACTCATATTTAAGTCATCATATATTGATCATCATTGATCATGGATCCGTGGTTATGTTTGTGTCAAATGATATTAAGACACGTTGGCAAGTAGCACATATCCAACTAAATCCATCCAATAAAAGTATAGCACAAGGATTATGGTTTTGTATGAAAATTATCACTCCCACAAAATAATGCCCTAAACTATTTTATACTAAATTTTAATTCGTCCGATCCCTTAAATTTCTCTCTATTTATTTTTAGGAAAAAGAATATCACCTCAAATTAATTAAATACTAAACTTTCGACCACATATTTTATTTCATTTGAATCCCACACGGGCCCATCCATCATCCCTATATATACCCGAACATCCGCTCATCCTAAATCCTCATTCCTCATCATTCCATCAAAACCTTCTCAAGGTACGTAACTTTATACTAGTATTTTTTATAGAAAGTTTCCTTTTTTTTAACTCGTAATATCTTTTTAGGTATAATAATAATAATAATAATAATAATAATAAGTCATATAACTATATATCTATGATGCCTGAATATATGTTAGTTCATATAACTGATCTAGCTTCTTCTTGTACGTACGTAGTTGAGTTTAATTAGTGTCGTTTGGTAATCGGAAGAATGGCTCGTACAAAGCAAACTGCCCGGAAGTCTACCGGCGGGAAAGCTCCCAGGAAGAGTCTTAGTGTGATTAAGGTATCTATGATTAACTTATTCCTGGATGCGTGTGTGTTAACTGTTAAGGTGATTGATTCCTAGAGAATCATAGAATCATCATGATTTTCTTATATCTTACTATCGTGTAAGTAAAACACATCTATACAAATACAACATAAGTCTATGAACAAATTATTTTTATCTGGAAAAGCCTGTTTACAAACAACAAATACAAAATAACTTGTTAATAGACTTATGTACAAACAATTTTTTTCATACTTAAATATGACTATATATATGGACGATGTTACACAAATTTGACAAATAGCGAATAAGAGAATTTCAGTGTTCGAACCGACATAAAAGAGGCTGTGTTTTATCCGATAAAAGGCAATTTCTTAACCCTAATACCAGGCAAGCTAAGTTAAGGCTTGGGCGGGTTGCATTATTACTCCCTCCATCCAAAAATGTTTGCCAAATTGACTTTTCTTGATCTCAACTTTGATATCATTTACCAAGAAAAACAATATGACGAACTTTTTCCGGGGTATTAATAAAATTTTGGTCGCCCGCACACAAACATTTGCTAGATTATATTTTTGTTTAATATGAAGTATTGTTTATTTGAACTTTGATGTGAATATGGTTGAAGGCCGCCCGGAAGCAAGTCCCTATGACCGGCGGGGTGAAGAAGCCGCACCGTTATCGTCCAGGAACAGTCGTTCCAGAGGTTGGTGCGGGAAATAGCACAGGACTTCAAGACGGATTTAAGGTTCCAAAGCCACGCCGTTCTGGCTCTCCAGGAGGCGGCCGAAGCGTACTTGGTTGGGCTGTTCGAAGACACCAATCTCTGCGCCATTCATGCTAAGCGCGTCACCATCATGCCAAAGGACGTCCAGCTTGCTCGCCGTATTCGCGGCGAGCAACCTATTAAATCTTGATTTTCTTTTTTATTTTATTAATGATAATAGTACGGTAGTCTATAAGCGGCTTAATTAATTAAGCACCACCTCTAGTACGTACGTTACGCAGCTGTTTGTTAATTTGGTCGATCAGTTACTTTGTTAATTCCTAGTATATGAAGATGATTCATAATCCGTATTAATGTATTATATGCAAGGTTGATGACTTTTGACTTGATGATTGTTTTTTGGGAAATTGCACTTTCAAAGTTTCAATCCCTTAAAGAGTGCCCATATTGAAACGTAATGTCCGTGTTTTCAAGTTTTTAAACTTCATACCTGAATTATTCAAATTATTGTGAAAATGTGAATATGGTTTTTTGAGATGTGACATTTACAATAATTCGAATAATTGATGTGTTACATTTATACACTTAAAAATACGCGTACTACATTCCAATGTGAGCACTATTTGAGTGATTCTTTATACATAGTACTTGTAGGACAAATTAATAAACTTTCACAAAAATATACAAAAGTAATGTTGTTATTGTGTGGTTGAAGTTTGTGCAGAAGAGAGAGAATTGAGCAGAACAACAAAATAGTTGTTTTAATGAGAAATTGGCAAAGTTTTTTTGGATAACCAAGAAGGGAAAGTTGATAAAATCTAATGAGACGAGAGGGTATGATATGTTGAGCAATACAATGCCGTACGTCACCGCGTCACATAGGCGTAGCGTTTTGGTTGGCAATAAACAGTATTCATAGGAGTGAAATATTGGGATGGTTCGCCTAACTACGTTTTCCAAAATACGATTTTATATATTTTACATTTACAATAGGGTGAATGGTGTGTATTTGAATCATATTGTGAGAACTAAAACATGCACTCCGTATTAGCTTTACTTTTGAAATGCATCACTCCTCATGGAAGACGTATGAACAATGTTTTACTTGCAAGTGGAATAAATAGTCCACATTCACACTTTAAGATCTTCTCCTTGTGAAAGGTTCAGCCCTTGGAACAATATTTTCTTAATTCTTCACTCGCTTTAGTTAATCAGTAGTGTCGGGCGTAAAATTAATCAGTTAAGAGGAACTTGATGTACATATAATTAAGTCGGTGTATAAATGAGTGTTTTTTTTGGGTAAATGCCAAAACTTATCAGGTAGAATCAAAATTAACGAAACAATCAGTCATAGAAATAGCGGCTTTTGCAAGAATATGAGCTGCTTGATTTGCTGATCTTCTACACCATTGAACTGAAAAGCTTGTTTCCTCTTCCAATAAAAGTTTAATGTCTTCAAGAATTATTCCCACTTGAGAATGATACTTCTCTCCATGTATACTAGAAAAAATGAGTGTTGAGAAATTAAATTGTGCAAATTCGGATTACTCAGACACTTGTATAGCTCTATAAGGAAAAGGTAGATTCTATGGTACCATAAGGTATCATACCTTTGTCCGCGTGAACCAATCATAAGGTTGCATTTGAATTATTTAAAACTAAATTAAAAATGATGTAATAATTTGGACCAATCAAATGAATGATAGGTACGGTATCCCATTTTCCAAATGAGTACGGGAGTTGTAATGGACGGAAAAGGGGCAAGAGTTACGGATCATTGACTGTCCTTAAATACAAACGTGGAGCTTCAATTCACATCCGCCAAACATGGATCTTTCAGTCTTTGCCCTTACATGGCAACAATTATGTGGTGATCGATCAGAGGAGCCATGCATATAAATATACTATCGTATATGCTTTTGAAGTATTTATTGTTCTGATAAGTAATAAACAAAAAAGTCACAAAAATTGTGTCACTTGAAAAAAAACACCTTTCCTTCTTGCTTACGAAGAGATTCTAGTATCGTGTTTTGTTTCAAAACAAAGCATATATATATGGGCTCTTCAAAGCGATTAAAAATAGCTTCCGCTTATCTCATTTCCATGCTTTTGAATGTAACCTTGGCTGCTCCCCTTTCATCCCCAAATTTGTACTTCCATCCACGACCGCTGGGCCCACTAAAGCCGGCCGAGCTACACACAAAGCCGCCGGCTTCAAAACCACCCGCGCCGGTGCCACCTCATCCAGATCCGAAGCCGTGTCCACCAGCGCCGGTGGTACCGAAGCCGGCTGCACCACCAGCAAAGCCGCCTACAGCGCCAAAGCCGAAACCACAACCTCCAATGCCGACGCCGACTCTTTCGCCACCACCGATGAACTCACCGCCACCTCCGTCGCCGCTATCGCCACCACCACCGCCATCGCCGCCAAAGTATTGTCCCATTGACACAATGAAAATAGGGTTGTGTTTGGATATTTTAGGAGGCCTGATTCACATCCACCTCGGTGATCCGGCGATCAACAAGTGCTGCCCGATGCTAGGAGGGCTTCTCGGAATGGAAGCGGCAGTGTGCATGTGCTCGACGATGACGATGAGGATGATGAACCTCACCATTTTCATGCCAGTGGCGCTGGAGCTAATTGGCATGTGTGGGTTGTACCTTCCTCCAGGCTACGCTTGCGATCTCACCTCAAGAACGACTAATACAAGCGCTCCCATTAATACTTGAATAATGCCCTCGCATTTATACCCATTAACACTACAAAAAAACAATGATTTTGACACGGAGTTGGCACGGAATTTTAATTTGGCACGAGTTTGACACGGATGCGTTAAATTCGTGGCGAATTCCGTGCCAATGTCGTTTTGTCGTCACCAGCTATTTGACACGGCGCTATATATGACAAAAAAAGGTTCAATTCGTGCCAAATACGACCAATCCGTGTCAAGTCCGTGCCTATTTCGATGTTTTTTTGTAGTGTAAGTATATAGTCTTGATGTGAAAAAAGAGAGTTAATTATAAGTGTTAGCATCTTGAAAGAGGTAAAAAAATGTGGTGACAATAACATAATTCAATGATTTTTTCATCAAGGTTAGTGCGGAAAAAATTAAAAGTGATATTCTAGCAATTCTCATATTAAACATTCAAATGTTATTAGGATCGTGCCATATATGTACACACAATAATTGTGTATACATATGCTCCATGTAATTACTTACGTTGCACATTTATCGATTTGCTTCATTTCAAACAAGTTAACCAGTTTTCTATTCCACCAAATTGGTGTGTACGTGATCTTTTGGGGAAGCTGCAAATACGACGACCTTAAATTGGAGTATTCGCTATTCAATCTTAGCTTATGAAGTACAATTTGTACTATACGAATTTACCTCTAATCTAACGTTTTTATGCACATTAAGATTCACCTTATGTGCTTAATTTAACCGAGTGCGTGTTGGAATTAACAGGAACAAGCTAATATGAGAGAAAAATACTTTCATTACTTTCAAGAATAAAAAAAAGAGACATACAAAATCTAACTAAAAACTTTCAAAAATACTTCACATATATCTGTCAAGGATATTCACAACTCTTTTTTATTATACTATGATGATCTAATATATGATATATTTGATGATAGATCAGAGTTGTTTACGTACTTCTCTATTTATAGAAACAAAAATAGATACTAGGAAGCTATGAGAAAGATGAATTAAAGCTTGAATGATGGTTAAAAGGCTGTTATGTTCGTCTTATTCCTATTATTTATTTCTTATTCTTATTTTATTCGGATCAAATCAGATCAGATCAGAAAAATTCAGATCATATCAGATCAGATGAGATCAGAAAGATTCAGATCAGATCCAATCTTTCTTTGCTAGTTGGAATACATTATTGTTGAATATAGGTAGATTTTACTCCATTGAGATAATCAGACTCTGTTTTCTCTTTGTCTTTTTTTATTGCTTTAATGTAAATATATGCACTTCTTTAACTTCTTGTTTCCTTAGTATTTGAACAGTGCTGGTTTGCTTGTCCAGACTAAGAAAATGGGAAGCAATGTGATCACACAAAAGGTAAAACAAAGGTTATTAACCCGTAACAACCACTCTGTTGAATCACATATTAGAAACACAGGGTGGCTCTTATCATACTGGAATGACACTGGAGATGTTATATACACAACCCAACCCATAGTCTTAAATTGGTTGGAAAAGTATTACGTATTTGATATGCTACTGCATACTTGTGTAGCACCCAGGTGATCGAAGATCTTTAGAGCATGTGAGAGGAGGTAGGGTTACACTTTTGTGGGTTACTAACAGTTTCGTTTTGCAAGAGAAGAACTTAGTGTGGTCAATGTCCAATTAGTTTCCCTTATGTACTTTAATTTTGAGTAGGCTTTGGTTTTGCCCTCCTACTCTTTGTATTCTCTTTTTTCTCAATAAATAGGTGGGGTGTTCCTGGCCCCCACCCCATAAAACCCTATGGGGTTTTTTGGATCATTACCGGGTCAAAAAAAAAAAATAGTGTGGTCAATGTGTACTTCGACCTTTTTATTTTAACTGGGCAGAGTATGCCTTGCTTTTGCAGATGAGATCTTATGCTCACTTTATGGGGCAGTAAAGGAAAGTAAGAATTCTTTGTCAAAAAATTAACACTTTGTAGCATTTTTTAAAACTTTAATGTAACTATTCTTTATGTAGTTTGACCAAAACTTAGTTCTTTCACCCTACTTGTCCCTTCTAGACCACTAACAATATTTAGTCATTAATTAATCAAACAAAAAGCATTCAGGAAGTTTTAATTGGACATGCTGGTTTTAGAAAAATGGCTGAAGTATGTATGGGCAAAGATCTACGTAGTTCTGTTATATTGCAAGTATGGATGTTGTAAGTTTCTTTTATTTTATATCATATTGTTAAACTTGTTAGAAAGAAACTTAATTTAAGATTGCGTTATTGCTTTAGGTACTTGCACCGCGTTTGTGTGTCCCACGTATTAGGAATATGGGATGTAACTTGAAGCATGAAATGATAATATCTAAGATCTGAACTCTTTAATCACTAGTTTCAAAAATTGAATCAAAACACAATATTTAGTTACTTCAACGTAAACACTCTAATGTGTCATTTAGCATTAGGGATTTTATTTTTTTTGTCTATTTTGTTTATTTGTCTAACCAGCTAAAAATCTACCTAGGTAAACACTTCTAGTTTTGCTTGTGCCATAATATGAATACTTGGTTGTTGATTTACATTTATAATTTGTTAAGTTAAGTTGCTGAAATAAGAGAAAATAAGGCTTCTAAACTCACGTGTATGTACTTTTATTTATTTACAACTTTTTTTATAGTGGTTGTCCAATCACCTAAAATGAGACAGCGAGAAGGGAATATTATTATACCACAATTCATGTATCCGAAAACTTATACTGGTATATTTTTGCATTTTTTTCATCATTCACAATAATGAGTTCATATTGCAATTTGTCATTTAGTTCATTTTATTCTCTGATTTAATTTATTCTAATATTTTATTAATTGCAGAGATTTGTCTATTCAGAGCCATTCTCTCTCGAAGAGATAGATTAGAAGCGAACTTAGCTTATTGGGCATCATTTTGTTGAAATTGCAGATTCTGTCAAAGACACAAGATGAAGAAAACTTTTTTTTTATAGTATTTAGCATTCTTTTAGGAGTAGTTTTATTGACTTATTGAAATTTGAGCTTGTAGTTTATAAGCTTACTTTGAATGATTTAATTTAATAAATTTATTGAATGTATGTTGTTACTTATTGCCTTTATAGAGTGATGACTGATGAATTTGAATTATTCATGTTTTATATCCCTGTAAGAGTATAGAATGTCTGGTATTATTGAATAATTGTTGATTAGAATGGGTGAAGGTTATTCGGAAGCTGCTAAAGGAATTTATGGTGTCAATTTAGTTTACATCGGCTAAAGGAAGAATGATGTTGATATTTCCTAATCGGTTGTAAATGATCTTATTTATAAGACCTTTTACGTCGGTTATAACATAACTGACTTGGAATTATTTCACATCGGTTAAAAATGATGTGGAACGTGTAATAATCGGTATTATGTCTGCTTATTGACATCGGTTTACTAAGTAACCGATGTTAAACATTGTTTTCACATTACTCAACTACCGATCTAGAAATTACAAACTTTTCACATGGGCTGAATCCACATCGGTAGTAGAACCGATGTGGAAGACCATTTTTGACCGATGTAAAAAGCAATTTTTGCACTAGTGATATATTCTCATCATTTGAATCAAATTTTTTTAGTTCTTAATTATAGTCAAATCTTATGAAAATTAAGACCCTCAATTCTAGTTCAGTCTCCCAAATTATTTGCCAAAATAAAAGGCTCTCAAATTCATGATTTTAAGCGTGATTGTTGGCATAAAACTCCACCTTATGTGGGGTTTAATGCACCAAATCCCCTCGTGATATGCAAATTTGGCGCATTAGCGCCCTGTAATTTAAAAAATGCGTCAAGCCTCCTTGTGTTTTAATTAACTATGCGCAAAATCCCTTCTATGAACAAACTAAATTGTCAAATAAAAGAAAAATGATTAACATTTTTGTATGATTTAGAGATTTTGACATATTTACTTGTATATTCAATCAGAATATTAGGTAAAATGATTTTCAAATCGTTAAATTTATTCATACAAGGGGTTCTGTGCATGATTAATTAAAACACAAGAGGGTTTGACATATTTTTTAAATCATAGGGGACTAATGCATCGAATTTCTATATCGCGAGGGAGTTTGGTGCATTAAACCTACCCCCTTAATTATGTGAGTTGGAACTTAAAATGATCAAATCGTTTAAGAAGTGTTTGGAACTGATTATGCTTCTATTTCTTTATTACAGTCGAAACAAAATCAAAATCAGTTTTCAGAAGCTGGTCTCCCTCAACTTCTACAAAAACTAATTCTATGAGTAAATTAGATCATTAGAAGTACTTCTACAGTTTCAACCAAACAACCCAACTTCTACTTCTGCTCCCTTAAGGAGCAGAAGCAGTTTTAAGAATGAGATCCAAACACTCCTAATACTAAGTACGGATTATATGTTTTTTCCATTAGAAAGAGGATTCAAAATTTTCCCTTTTCATACAATTACTACGTACTACGTATTACTCCGTATTTATCAGAAGTTATAAGAGTACTCAACTAGCAAGATCGATTACTCTTGTAAAATTTAAAATTTTCAATATTCACATTATCATACAAAGACTACGAATACATATTTATATATTCATCGGAATACGTATACTATATGTAGTATTGCATTTCTGGAATCCCGGCCCAGAGCTAAACTATTCAAAACAAAATAGGCTAATGCATATTATATGTTACTTTGTCTCTAATTGGAAACATGGATTAATTATTAGCCTATTACAAGTCCGTTCTTCAAACATAAAAACTAAAAAAAATGACATAAAAACATGAAATACTTATATACTCTCACTTATTAATAAATATCACTTAAATTTAATTATTAATATCACTTATTAATGAATAACCCAGAAATACCGAACACATAAAATTTAATTAACATGATTGCCCATGAGAAACAAATCGATGGAATGAGATTTAAACTACTCCTGATCGATAATATTACCAGCTAAGCAATAAAGGGAAAATATGGATTATGTTTTGACAAATTTAATTTTACGCTACCTCAAGATGTTTACATTAGTACATTACACGGGGTAATTAGATCAAATCGCGCGGGTAATTGATAATGTACTCTCACTTTTTATGAATATATACTATAGCATTCACGGATTCACCTTTATCTTATGAGCATGTACAAAAATTGAAATCAATTCGAATAGACAAAAGTAAATGAACTCATGGACCTAGCTAAATATGGAGTATATAACCATAAAGGTTGTGGTGGGGAAACAAAGACTCCTGGAAAGGGTAGGCAAGTTGCAAAAAGAACCTGAATTTTGGTGCATGAGAAACGGAGATTTGGTAACCTTCACAAAAGGTAGATAGATCACGGTCATGTTCATTAGCACCAAACTAGGACCAATGACTACTATAAAATGACAAGAAGCCAGTGCAATCATATGTACAACGTCATTGCATGCATGCAATATATATCCTAAAAACAATAAGAGACAATTCTCACATAATTAGAAAGAATAACATCATCAGGTGTTGAGCAAGCATGGGGCCTTCCAAGCAGCACATTAGTGTAACTTTTCTAGTGTCATTGTTGATCTTTACTCTTTCATCAGCGGATCCCTCAATTGAATATATGTCCTACGATGATGATGCTATATCATCTATACTGAAGCCA